CCACAAATTGGATTTTAATGAAACTTTTAAAGAGAACTATGCAGAAACCCAATTAGTTTTTGGTAAATATTTATGCTTATTAATCACCTAATTAACATAATTAATTAACACTGATATCTCAATTACTGATCATCACATTTGAATAAAATTTGGTACATAAATGCTCTAGAACAATAGACAGGCCTGATTAATTTTGGGTTAAAATTTGTTCATATTAATTCTCTAATTAGCATAATAATTCATAATTTTTTTGTTCTGTTCTGTTCATATTAGTTACATGATTTACATAATTAGTTTTCAGCTTTTCCATCAATATCTCATGTACTAGTAATTTTGAATTAATTTTTAATGTGTCTTCAATACTCTCAGCACACGGGAGTTCTTTCTAAGCTTTCTTTGATTTTTTTATTTAAATTTGTTTGTAACTCGATTCAGTTTAACATTTCTTCAACTTTGTTGCTGATACTGTTGTCTAATATTGTATGTGTACATTGCACTGACTGTAGTTTGCAATTTTTCATTGCGTTTACGTTCTAGTGTCCTTTATAGAATTGATAATTTAAAGGTTATCTAGTAACAATTTCTACTAGGTTTGATTGACACATCAACTGCTGGAGCTTTTTTACACAATAGATATAAATAATTTGTGAATATTTGTGAAGGTTTTCAGCATTTGATGTGTTAGCATGCTTGGAATTTTTGTGAATTTAAAATCCTAAGTTTTTAGGAGCACTTTCTGACTTTTCCAACTCTATCAAAGAGGTTCATTATTTTTAAAAAAATGCCTGTTCTATTTGTACATGTATTTGAACTTGACACAATAATACTTTGCAATCTGGTCAAAGAGTTCATTCAATATGCCAGGCTCAATGATATTTTGTTGATTTGATTGACTCTGGCTCAAGCATTGGCTTTATAGTCAGTGGATTGAGCTTCAGTCATGAAGGTATACATCCAGTTTTACAATAATCTTTACTCCTGACAAATCTAAGGTGTTGACAAATTTGAGATCACCTGCTTATTTTCGATGAAAATTGTTATATTGCAATGAATGGCAGCCATTTTGTCAGTGTTAGAATGCTTTCACCATTGCTTACTATAGTAGAGCTATTAATGCCATATCTCAAGCTTTCAAAAGTGATACATCAACTACTGCTACCTGTTTTCATGGATATGCCTTGTGAATGATTTGTAACGGCATCAACAGGTTGTGTGTCAACATTGTGTTCTATGGAATTATTCAGAAAATAACATTTATTTTAAATAATATTTGGCAAATTAGAACTCAACGTTTACTTTTAAACTTTAAAATGTATGATATCTATCTATATATTTATTACATTCAGGTATTAGCAAGTGAGGTACTATTCAGTTGTCCAAACGTCAATTTTACTCGCCCTGCCATTATAACATAACTAATTATAAAAATCATTGAAAATTGTTACATAATTTTTGACCAACTTTCCCTATAGATATGTATGAGTGCTGGTTTCTAACTTTAACATGGTCAATGGTGATGATTCTTGTTAATTCAGACTTGAATGAACACTGAAGCATGTCAATATTTTGTTGATGTTTCTCTATGAATTATAATCATCTTTGTGATTTCTCTAGGATTTACAGAATTGGGTCACTGGTTGGGTAGATTGGAACATCGCTTTAAATATGCAAGGTGGTCCAAATTGGGTAGAAAATTTTGTTGACAGTCCTGTAATAGTTGATGCTGAAAATGATGTCTTCTACAAACAACCAATGTATTATCATTTAGGTCATTTCAGGTCAGTGACCCAGAATTCTTTATTATTTCATGCAGACACATGATTTGTGTGTTAAAAATATTACACTGAACAAATGAACAGTATTTTTGATATCAAAATAAATATATGCAATCCAGACAATGATATCATTTGTCATTTTCTATTTATTGCAGTAAATTCGTAGAACCTGGCTCTATGAGGGTGGATGTTAAAAGTGATAAGACAAATGACTTATTAATTGTAGCATTTATCACCAATAAGAAGAGAATAACAGTTGTCATTCTGAACAGGTCAGATATTTCTGCAGCTCACTTGATGACGATTGGATAATATTATCAGAAATCAAAACAAAACAAAACTTATTTGAAAAAGAATTTCTGTTGACATTTAAGGGAAAACATGCCCAATAAACGACTGTGTTGGGAAATATTTCAATTCACAAATTAAGTGAACAGTATAGGGCATAATGGATGAATAACATACATTAGGAGAACATGATGGCTGAATTGCAAACAGTAAGTGAACATTAGAATATGGCGAAACCAGCATCATCGGGTAAACATTAAAGAACATGTGGATTATAGCATACAGTGGAGTGAACATTGGAAACATGATGGATAAATAGCATAGTACATTGAGTGAACATTAGGAACATGTTGGATGGATAGCATACATTGAGTGAACATTAGGAAACATGATGGATTGATAGCATACATTGAGTGAACATTAGGAAACATAATGGATGGATAGCATACGTTGAGTGAACATTAGTAAACATGATGGATGGATAGCATACATTGAGTGAACATTAGGAAGCATAATTGATGGATACCATACATTGAGTGAACATTAGGAAACAATGGATGGATAGCATACATTGAGTGAACATTAGGAAACATGATGGATGGATAGCATACATTGAGAGAACATTATGAACATGATGGATGGATAGCATACCTTGAAAAAAACATTGGGAAACATGATTGATGGATAGCCAACATTGAGTGAACATTAGGAAACATGGTGGATGAATAGCATACATTGAGTGAACATTAGGAAACATGATTGATGGATAGCATACATTGAGAAAACATTATGAAACTTGATGGATGGATAGCATACCTTGGGAAAACATTGGGAAACATGATTGATGGATAGCATACATTGAGTGAGCATTAGGAAACATTATGGATAACTTGAGTATTTGTATTTAGCACATAGAGAACTTGATCGAATATTCATATTTAGTACATTTATTTTTGTTGTGATTAACCAAATTTTCCTATTTCTCTGTAGTGAAAATAAAGCTGTCAAGATTCATTTATATGACATAAAATCTGGTTACATCAATGCTGAGGTTCCAGCCAGATCCATTCAGACATATACTTGGATGACAAAGTAAACAAAGATCAGTGTACTGTCCTATTGAACATTTTGTATAATGTTATGCATTCAGCTGTATGCAATCAGATTTGGTATTCATCTCGGAAAAATTACATTTTATTATTGATTGGTGCCATAATGCCATAATGTCATGGCAACACTTGGTGCACATATTTTATTTGTTGATTTAGTATCAAACGGACATACTTTTTTATTGGCTACAGGTCTCGATCAAGATCAAATCTTTGAAAAAAAAATACTTGACCTTGGTTTTCAAAGCTGTTTCTTTGTATTTATGCAGATTGTAAACTGCTACAGAATTCATGTGAAGATTGTGAACTCAACTTATCCAAAGTTGTAAGTTCTGGAGTTGACAAGTTCTCCCTCAACTATTAATAAAATTGGCAAAGAGTCAGGTTCACACCCAAAACTTTGATTGGGTCATCAATTAAATGTAACATTACTGGATAGGTTTTGTATCAATTAAATGAATTATTTTGTGTTTAATATGTAAATTAAAGGCATACATTCTGGTGATCAGCTAAGCGTCCCTGATTTGTCATGGTATAAGTTGGTAATGGAATGTCTGTCGTGTGTTGAGAATATATCAGATCTAGCTACTACTTAAAGGGCGGCGTCCTGTTCGATATGGAACTCATAGCGACGTTTACAACGAGTGTAAAATACATTGTTTATTTACATGCGCGACGACCAACGTGCTTTAAGCTAGCCTTAATAATGGCAATCACACAAAGTAATATTGGTTTATAATTGCAAAGTCAATTAACCTTTTCCTTAAAAACAGATTTATAATCTCCATATGATTACTGAGGGACATGGATTCAGAGTTTATATCGTTTGTGGTCATGTATGCATGCACACATCTATTACACTAATTGTAAACCGACCACACTTGTATTTATATGGAGTGTAAATACTATAGATAACTGTACATAACGTTGTAAACCGCCATTGTCTGGGATGTATGCAGCTACATAACTAAACAACATTTGCCACATCGTTATTGTAAATTAGACCTTGCACCTTATTTAAGACCATGCAGCTTTAATCAAACTGCAATTTCTGAAGTTGACAAGGAGATAGTAAGAGTTCTTTTTTTTAACTAGTTCAAACTCCCACCAACCACAGCAGGTAGACCCTCAAACGAATTAGCTATTGCATATTCTGATTGAGGTTCTGGGAAAATACAGACATTAGAAGGATCATTTCAATGTCAAGTGGCATGCAATGAATAATTCAAGAGCAAATCACAAACATACATCATTTGTATTTATGTAATGGTATGTGGTGAAGGCCATGTTTAGCACTGAACAGTTGCGTGGTTGAGTGATACTGCCAGAGACAAAAACCATACCATAGCATCAAGTGTAATTGTATTGTGTTTTCGGATGTCACTACAATTAGTTTATACATAAGTTTATAAGTACTGTTTGCACATCTTAGCAATCTACTTACACTGATAGCATTGAGTGTAGTGTACATTTTCAAAATATTTGTGTATTATGACCAAGGTTTCTTACTCTTCCAATGGGTATCTTATGAAATGTAACCATTTTAAAATACCAATAAGTTCCAGGTGTCAGTACTTAAATTTCAATTTTATTTATATGATTGCTAACAATTTTTATAATTGTCGTCCTTTGTTACAAAGTAAATTGTGTTTCAATGTTCCATGTTAGCATTTGAAAAGTTTGTTTTCAGAGTTGAACCCCAACTAACATTAGAAAAGTTTTGCTTATTCCATGGTGCACAACTCTATTGCAAGAAAGAACAGAGATATTTATATTTGTACTGGTTACTTTACATATAATACTGTAAAGAGAGCACCTGTTCCCTTAAAACTCTACATGGTTGCAATTTTGTTCATTTTAATTACCAGTAATTTGTGCTGTGCTTTTTCATGTTTGATGTCGTTGGTGCCTGTAAATGTCTTTTATGCCTGGTGGTCATAATAAATACGCACCATTATATTGTATTTATACCTATTTTCAATAAAGTCAGTCAAAGCATGTCCAAGAAAATCACTTAACATGACCGCCAGTTAGCCATTTTTAATCAACCCACAAAACAAACTGGCATGTGTCACTAACCCACTAGGAGTGATGTTGATGCCAAGTTTGATTAAAATCTGTTTAAGAATTAACTGTTAATCAAATTTAGTGATGATTTGTTTGTACATGTATAAATATTGTCACCAGTCGATTTTGAATCAAATGTCATGCATAAATAAGTAACCCATCATGAGTGATGTTAATAACAACTTTGAATGAAACTTGTCAAGGCATGTTTTGTGACAAAAATTGATGCCAGTTGGTCAAAGATAAACAAATTGACATTCCTAAGTAACTCATTACGACTCGTCTTTGTACCAATGTTAGACAAAAATCGGTACAGCCATATGTGAGGAAAATTGATGTATGGACACATAAACAGACTGAACCCAAAACTATTTATTTTGGTCCTTGTCAAAATCAGATTCAAAATTTCCAACTGGCAGGCATTTTTTTCCAGAGCCATTACTCTAACATGCACTATATTCCAATTTTATAGATTTCTTAAAACTTGCATTTCTTAATGCAGTTTTTTTAAATGCACTCTATTAATCCAGGTGAACTACTGGGATAATGTTTGATATGTATAAATAATTAAAATTTCTTTTGTACGGCTCACTGAACCGTAACTGGTAGGAAACCATTAACATAAATAGAATCATTAACAATTTAACATATGTACATTGTATTGTGAACGAATGAATGATTGCACACAACCACCACTAAATTTTGTAATCCAGATTTTTTTTCATATACACTTTAATGTCCAGGTTAGGAATTTATAAGTGATTATTGAAAAAGTTTGTCAAGCTGGGTTTGAACAATGACTTGGGTATTGGTGGTCAGTGTGCAAGGGATTTAGTTTGGATAGCTATACAAATGAAGATGCAAAGTGTTTTGTGCATGTTCACCAACCACACGAGGACAAAGTTGGTGTGTATTTTGAATTTCCATAGGATTGTTGTGGTACAAGTCATTAATTGCATTGTAGCAGTGTCTGTACAAGTTGCATTTATAGTCTGCATCTTGTAAATGTTTTGTGGCTGAAGTTAGTTACTTTATAGTAAATTTTTACATTGTCAGAATTACATACACAGACTAAAAGACAAGTTAGCATTCATTTATTAATACAAGACTACATAGAACAGACCACCCAGAGTAGTGATAGCAACGTCTGATACAATATATTAACATTACATACTGAAATAAAAGTAATTTGTTTTACATTGAAATTTACATAATAACCCTCTGGTGAAGAACTCAAAAACTATTAAAATTATAAATAAAATACAACAAATGCGTCTGTATGCTCACCTGACGTGGACAGATGTTAAGAGCTCCAAATAATATTGTTGCTCCTGATTTATTCAGTTTTTCATCATGCACGATTTAGAAATCTGGCTACAAGCATTGGGCATCACCAGGTGAGCCGATAAAAATGGAAATTTGCTGTTAAAAATAAGATACAGCTGCTGAATATTAGTAAGGGTTAGTTCCTGCATAATAGAAATATGCTCCATCAACCACAGCAAAGACTAATCATGCATGCAACAAGAATGTCAAATGGATTCTAATTATCAACAAGCAATTTCTACTAATCAGCGAGTGAGTAAGCAAATAGACCTAGGAACAAACAGACATTCCTATTGTATGTTGGAAATTAATGACTAAACAGCTAAATTAATAAACACGATTCCTTGAAATAATTTAAACGTGTAATGCAATATGCTACAAAAAACTATTTCAGAAGCAGTAGCATTTGCAGTGTAACGCATCTGTTCACAAGTATTTACCTATGAATTAAACCATCTTATAATAATATGCCAAGTATTAAAGTTCAAGTATGTGGAAATAATTACTGTACTGTCTGGAAATTTTACCTACAATTTAAAGCGACAGGAAATGGAATATTGAAGAAGTCAAGATTGAAACTAGCTAGTGCATCAATGTCACCAAACAAAGATCGGTATACTAATTTAGCCAGTACATTGAGGACAGCCATAAAAAGTGGAATAAGGTTATCTCTGATAATTTGAGAACATTTACAATTTTAAAGTACTTACATTATTACTGATCATAAAAAGTACCCAAAACTATTTTACACTAGCACATCAAAACCACTAATATGTTGTAACATGAAAACGCTATTCTGGTGAGAAAATGCATCACAGCAGACAAAACCTACACAAGCATAAACTCTGCACGGTGCCTGCCTCCATGGATAACCCAAATGAATGGGGCTGGCAGGCGATGCATTAAAGCCAACAATATGTATACCTAAAATTTGTACACTTTTTTCCTGCTGAATAATACATGTAAAACAGGCAAAACTTGACATTCTACATTTTTTTGTAAATTATTGTAAGATTTCCGAGTTATAAATACATAATATTATGCTGTACATTTACATGAAGGGACAGAATATGTACCTTTTATGAGCAATAGAGGTATATTGTGTTGCTACTTGGAAAGTCAAACTAACAGAATTCTTTAAAGAATGCCAAAGATATTGCAACAAAAACCACACTGGATATAAAAACAGCAAAAGAAACAATTTCAATCACACACCAAAAATACATAGCAGTGCTTTCTCATCAAGTACAGTTATTAACAGCCAACTAATCTGGCCACCAGCTGTTTGTCACCTTTCAGTTTTATCATTCAAATGCATACAGAAAGATTTTTTTTTTAATATCAAAGAGATAATAATTCTGCTACACATCAGTTGATCTATTTAAGGTAGAATGTTACTCACAAGATGTTTTTTATACTTGTGCACATAGCAGTGACAATATTTCATATCAAAATCTGTCTACAATTAATCATTTAGTATTACCGTTGTTAACAGTATGTCAACTTTTTGATTCACTGTAGATTTTTTTTAAGAAACTACAATAATATGTACAAAATGCCCTTTTAGCAGCAGTTTCCATAGACCACAATGAAAATGCACTTGAACAAAAGAATTATTGTCAATTTTGTTAATACTGCCAGATATCAAAAATTACCTTGCAAGACACTAAAACAAGCTATTCTCACTGTAATTTATCGATAATTTTGATTAAACCGAGTACAATAACCCTATATTTTTAATTTACTTTTTTCATCCTTGTAACATATCAAATATGAAAAAAAAATAAATGACAATATTTTTACTTTTGTTTTGTAGCATTCCACCTTAAATGAAAATATATTAAAAACTTTTACAAGTTGGCAGATGTCCTGAACTTTCAAAATGTATACACATTTTACAGTAAAACTTGTGTTAATTTACTATAATGAATGATTTCATTTATCAGGCAATACACAATAGGTTCTTAAGACATGGCAAATGTTAGAAAGTATTGCACATCTTTAATTGTCAGCACCACAATGATACATGTATATACCGAGCAAATTTTTAAATACAAAATTTATGCTGAAAAATCAGGTTTCTTGCAGATAATGTCCATTCAAGTGATGTGCAATGGGACAATACAGTCGGTGGTTCTCGAGTTAAATTCTGATACACAAGATGGTCAAATCAAATCATGTCATTTGATGTAATAAATGATACAAATAAAATTAAAAATAATGAAACTGAAAATAAACAATGTCCATTTTTTACAACTGTTAAATCTATCTAAAAAATACATAAATAAACAAAGGTATTGTCAGAAAATTACAAATGTTTTTTAAGCAGCTAAAGTCAGCTACCTTAAAAATAAATACTGAATGACTAATGTACACTAATTTCATAAACTGACATAAAATGCCACTTTTGATACAGAATATTAGCTAATATAAGGATCGGATTAGATTGCGAATTAATTAGAATTATGCATTCACACAGTATATTGATATTAATGGAATGCTTCACAACAATCTGGCATTATTAACAATTACATCAGCTGACAGATAGCACCAACTTCAAACTGATGTAACAATTCAACAGTGCAAATATTTCAGTACATTTTTTTTGTGCATTTCAGCTGCAATGTTGTTTGCTAAAAACATGCGGCAATGTCAGCAGTAAATTCATACCTGTAAGTGGCCATTAGAATCCTTGTCTCCCAGGTATACATAGCTATCTGGGATCAGTTGACAATACAGAAATAATTGAACAATCATTTTAGTTTAGTTTAACTATTAATCATTGTGTTAACTGGACATTTTTGTTGTGAACTGTTTGGTCTCAAGTTGGGTAATAATATCTGATAATGCTTAATATATCAATCCTTGGTATTTTCCACTTAAAATAAAAAAATCACTTTGATGTAAATATTGCAGGCATAGCTGGGTTTTGAATAACCCACCTTGCAAAGATCAACTTGGTCATGCTTTTGGTATAATGAGATGGAATATAGTAGTGGTTGGATGAAAATATTGCACTGCAAACTATGGTTGGAAGGAATGGTAAATACAACAAGATGTCAATATAAAGTATTTTCCAATTGGATGGCATCTTGTATCGCTTCATACACTACTAAGATACAAATCATTATATACAGCTATATTAGTTTTCTATCCTCTCAGTGTTCATCTTAATATAATCTGACGTGACCATAAGCATGCACATTGCTAAAAAATACTTTAGTTATAGTAGCACCAGTGAAACAAAGTTCCATGCAATACCACTAGAAATAACCAATGCTAGGATGAGGTAGGTTACATGAACATAGCCTGTGTGCAGTCAACATAATATATATATATTAAAGTTTTAAAAAAAACTAATTAATAAAAATGTTAAAAATAAATAAGAAAACTGCTTACACATAACTGCAGTTAAAATTATGTATAGTTGTTATAATATATAATTTTTATAGAAGTGTTGCTTTTCTTTGATATATGCATTATGAAACCACTTAGATTGAGAAACTACTCGGATGTTTACAAAATATAATTTAGATCTCTCCACCTTTGACAGCTCTCAAATGGTCTCTTGATTGTAGACTTCTCTCATTTCTACATATATACAAACTTTCTGCTCTAGATGTTTTTCATTTGGTATATAAAAATATATTTACAGAGCCTAGCCTTTAGCATAATCAGCCAAGTAATTTACAAGGAAAATTTGTGTGATTGTACAATATGAAATCTTAGATCTTCAATACACAATGACTGTATGTAATGTAAATGTTTTGTTGAAAATATTCCATATTAACAGAAATAAAAATCTCTGCCCATAATTCTCCATTTAGATTCTGGTCCTCTGTAATGTAAGACTAGGACATTCTGTAAATGATTGTGTAAACACCTTCACCTCACTTTGGAGAATTATGGGGCGGGACTAAAAGACTGATAATTCCAAAAAAAAAAGATATACAAGACAAGTTTGAAACGTCATGATCTTGCAACTGAATAATACATAGAGCAACAGTAGCTTAGCTGTACAAATATTACAAACTCTCTCACAGCAACCAGTGAAATAGAATACATTATAATTTATATGGCTGCACAAACACAAACTAAGTACAAGTAATTCATTAGTTCCCGTATATAACATATGGATCATTATCAGTCTTAAAATAGTCTTTTTCAAAGTTCTAATCCTTCCTTATGTACAATAATGAAAAGCTGTGCCAGTTCCATGAAAGGTCTGAACCTGCAGGATGACTTAATAAAATAACAGCCTGCACAGCAGACGAGGATCTCTTCCAAATCTTGAAATAAGTATTATTTACTCTATACATGATCTTTCAAATAGGCAGTGGATGTAAATGACTTTAAAATATCCTCTTGTTTTCCTTTCTGCCAACAGGCAGGATTTAAACATGTGCTTTTACTTCGCATGGTTCAGTCTTATTGAATTCTGATAGCAAAATTGCAATACAAAACCCTACACCAATAGCTATCAAAAAGGCACCTCACCAGTTCAAGCAGCAACATAAAATCAATACTGGCTTTAAAATTCATGTCATTACTTCAGTGTCTTAATCTAGTGTAAATGCAACTTATTTATTGGTTTCCTCACACAAATCTTTTAAAATGCATAGCTATTGGTGTAGGGTCAAATAAAAATTTATGAAAATATTCAGACCTAACTTGTTGCTTACATGTAGTGATGTATTGTATTGTTGATTCTTCAGCAAGTTCTTCTCTGAGTTTTCATGAAAGTATCTTACCTGCTCAGAAAGAACTTGCTCATAAATAGCTTTGTTTTTGATATTTGGTTTTGATATTTTAGACTGGCTTTTATCTTATAATTGTCTCTTTCACTGGCCAGATTTTACTCTGTAAATATTTGCAGGTCAGACTTCAAGATGGCAGGAAATGTAGGCTCCTCTACAGATTCCAGAGGCAACCAAGATTTACCAAGACTTTGGGAAATCTGCATGACCACTTCCTCTGCAACTACATTTTCTCCTGTTGATTGGTCCACAATGTAGTCAGCAAGTACCTCTAGTTTCTTTAGTTTAGGCCCACGTAAACGAGCAATAGCAATCAAATTATCATCCATTATTTCATAACCTGAAAGTAAATCAGACGGATACATATAGTAATGGGAATGTTAAGAAACAAATTGAAAATGTCAGTCGAGAATGGTGAAAATATGTGATTTTGGAGCATTTATGGCTTTAAAATATCTGCCATTCTGCTATCTTGAATTGGAACAAGAAACAAATGCATGTGCATATGATGTATGTGTGAAGTCTGACCTTGACTGGTCCAAATGACGTGGGTCTGATACTCTGATTACGTTTGAACAGAATCTGTCAATGTATGATCGAGATGTGTGATTTCAATGCAATTTTGGTCTGGTATTCGGCCATCTTGAATCGGATAAGGAAAGAAACACATGCAAATGTCCGATATAATGTCCAACGTATGTGTGAAGTTTTAACTTCAGTCTAAGCATGTGTAAGATACAGCTGGATACACACAGAGTTCAATCTAAAAACATACAAAAATACAAAATGACTGCCATTCAGTCATTGTGAATCAAATCATGCAACAAAATGATGTGTATCAGTAACCCGCCATGAGTGATGTCAATACCAAATATGAATGAATTTGGCCAGGCACGGATACAAATGAATGGACAGACGCTAAAACGCAAGTCCCTGTTTTGAACTTGAGGACTATCGGTAATAAGAAATGCTGCTAAAACTTCAGAGAAAAGTATGTTATTTTTGTGAGTATGTCTATGGTAGTACATTTGTAGGTGATCTATTGAGTGATGTTTTATGAGTGTCCCTAATACCACATTTTTATTTTATTTTATTGGTCTACAAGCCATGCATGGCACAGTCCCCGTTAGTTATCGAATTTAAGATGTATAGTTTTGTTTATAGTAATATAGCTGGAATATAACCATGTCAGGAATATGATTATGATGATTGTTTAACATTAAAATGATTGACATTTGTATCTGATCGTCAAATGAGTATTTGTCCACATTGAGAGATATTGCACTGGAATAGCATTAATTAAAACAAAATTAGCTATTTTGAATACATGTATATATCTATAACATGATGTATAATGAATATTGAAAATTTGAACATAATCAGTCAAAGCAAGTCAGAGATATGGCTCTAGAAACACATTCATTAAAACAAAATTGCCACCAGTCAGCTATTTTAAATCCGATCTGAAAAACAAAATGAAGTGCATTAGAAACCTGTAATGTCTAACGTATGTATACCAAGTTTGAACGAAATCCATCAAGAAATGCTCGATATTTGATGATTTTTAGCATAAAAATGGCCACCATTTGGCCATTTTAAATAGGATCATCAAAACCAATATATCTGTATATCTATGACATGATGTATAATGAATATTTAAAATTTGAACATAATCAGTCAAAGAAAGTCAGAGATATGGCTCTAGAAGCCCATTCATTAAAACAAAATGGCCACCAGTCGGCCATTTTGAATCTTATCTGAAAAGCAAAATGATTTGCATCAAGGTCCTATAATGTGCAATGTATACGCCAAGTTTGAACAAAATTCATCTGTAAACAGCCGAGATATGCTTGATTTTGACGATTTTTCAGTACAAAAATGGCCACCATTCGGCCATCTTGAATCAGATCGTGAAATACATTGATGTGCATATGCATGATATGTGTCAAGTTTGATTGTGATTGGTCCAGGCATGTCTAAGATGCAGATCCGGACTCGCAAACGCACGGACACATGAACGCACTGATGCATGGATGCACAGACGCACAAGAATCAAAACATAAGTCCCCGTCTTTATAAAAATCTGAGGTAAACCAAACTTTAGAGAACATAAAAACATTATTCGCCGATTGTTCGAAATTTCAGAATAAGCACCCAAACCCAAAGTACCCTGAACGCTAAGTCCGTTGATTGCAGTACAATAGATACTAGTGGTTAAAAATCAATCTTATTAATTACATTACCATGCACAACCAAGCAAAATGACATTACCTATGATAGACAGGCACGACAGCTGATCGCATCTCCATGCCAGCATAACCAATGGGTCTTCAACTCCTTCCACATCAGGAAATAGCAGGTAGGGCATCTCATCACTTTCCACTTGCTCATGTAAATACACAGCCTCCAAGGTCTTATTGTTGTAGGTACCAAGAAAATCTATTGCAGATCGCGGAATTGATCCACTGTATAAAATTCGCACAGTGTGCAGTGGTAGACTTGGTCTTAGAATATCAAGTATTTCAGTCAAGGGTATGCTCAGGAGAGTGAGAGTGACTTTCACATTAGGACTATGAGTAACAAGCCCCTGCCACATCACATTACTTACAGCAGACTTGTGACTGCCTAAACCATCTGCAAGAATCAATAAATGCTGTAGCTTGGTACGATCTGGTTGTGTCAAAACAGACAACATATCATTGGAAAGATCATCATAGTTCAGACTAAGAATTTGTAGATTCTTGAACACTCGCAATGAATATGGTTGTATATTATGCATGGCTTCATCCGGCAAAAGACTGGCTAGGTGCAAGGTATGTAGAGATGTACTGCAGTTGTCGCCTATTCTATCCAATACTTCAGAATCACACAACTCAGGAATGTAACCCAAAGATAAACAACTCAACTTCTTAGAATTCAGTAATATTTCTTCTATAATATCGATGAATCTATTACGAAAAAAGATTAAAATAAATTTTTTACACCATAAAGAATTTTAAACATAGTAAACAAGTATTTTTAATAAAATAGTCCTAATATTGGCTGAATTAACATTTGAGGAAACAAAACGGAGAACGAAAAGGAAACCAAATGGAATGCGTGTGAAAACCAGTAAATCTTACTTATGTCCCAAATTTAAACAAAATTTTAACTAAGAACCTATCCGGACTGAAACATTGAGAAGAAATGATTTGTGTTTGTCTTACTTCAAAAAAATATGAGTTCATGCGCGTACACTATCAATGTCTTTACAATCACCAGCAATCTACTCAAAATATTAACCCTGTAAGCTTTTATCGAAAAAAACACACCTCATAGAATTTGAACTACAGTTATTTTTTTTTAATTATAATTATGATTTTAAATTATTTTCTATATTCCTTATTTCACTTAAATCGACAGCACCACTTCAGCGAAAAACAATGAGACACAAAAACAAACTGGCTACACATATTTTTGGTGACAGTCAAACACGTCCATATTGCAGAGCACTTGCGCTGTACAATAAATTGCCATCGCTAACCACGCCCATCGGCACAGGATTAGTAAAATTAGGGAGATGTTCTATTTTAAATATGGCCGACTGACTCTAAAATGGCGGCCATATTGTAAAATATTTCAAAGCTATTTTAATGGTCCTTCAAGCAACCAGACATAGGAAGCATATTCTATATTGCGGTCTAGCTTTGTTGCTAGTTTTCGGACAAATAAAAACAAATTCAAATAATACCCCAAACGACACAATCGATATACTTCACCGCAAGCAGTATTGCGCAACGTCAAACTCACTATTTTTAACCAGCTGACAACTTACCCGCCCAGTGTTTCATCGTCGAAGTCGCTGTTGCAAGCAAGCAAACACAATTTCTGGAGTCTTCGGTTTCTTCTCAGGTTCTGTAATACGGCCAGGGCTTTCTTGTTTTCCAGTAGGTAGTCAGGCCACTCCAAAGTGAAGTCTCCCACAAAATTGCCGCACCTGGAAGACAGGAAATTGGCTCTACCATACTCGTAATCATTTTCCAGGTTGAACTCCAATTTCTTCCACAAAGAAGGGTGAAATATGCACTGTCGCCATCTTGAGCAAATCGAGGAAGCATGTATCCTGTCTTTATGCGACAAAAATGAGAAAATTTCCACGATAACTACGGAAGGAAGCCTGCTCCAATCTGTTGTGTTCGGCCCAGCCATCTTGCGTTGCTGATCTGAATCCGAACTCAAGTGTCGTTTGTTTTAGAACGAACTTCAATATGGCTGCTTTATATTCAAAACTATATATAACAATAATTTTCCTATTAGTAGAGATAGAAGTTTGATATCTCAAAAATAAGTAGAATTTTTATATTATTAGTTTAACGTTCTTGTTTGATTCAATTCAGTTTATCATTACTGATGAAGGCCAATTGCCAAAATACATAACACATTTATTGTTAGTAAGTTAAAGGGATCAAAACATTTGTTCTATATGTGACGTCATGGGCACCTGGAAACCTGTGCTATTTTTGTAATAGATGTCTATGACGATAATAATACTGGCGGTGCCAGTGTCGCATCGTGAATGAGGAGTTACAGACATAAAACCGACAAATCACGAAATATGCATAATAGACGAGTAATTGAAAAAAACAAACATTGAACTTGAATTATATGAAATAAAGCTGGGGCCTCAAAGGGGTATGGATTTTGAAAGGGTTCCAGTGTGTAAAAATATTTCAGGGTTTTGAAGGGAGCTTGTTTATTTATTTATTTATTGTTGTTTATTGTTGTTATTGTTATTGTTGTTGTTGTTGTTTTTTCGATATACAAATGGGTAAGATAAGAAATGGTGTAGAGTGATGGAGAGTGATTTTCTCACTAGCTAAAATCATTGCGCCCCTTGTTATAATCTCTGACAACTAACTAACTAATATTAGTTGTCTTGAGTTATAATATTTCATCATGCCTATTATTATACATTTCAATCTCTCAAACTGGGCCTGGTATTTTTGATATTATTCAACTTACGCAACATATCAGTAAGAACCATGTTCAAGCCGAAGTTTAACATGTATTTTTTTCTCTGGGTCACTATTGATACTCTTATTGCGGCAACGTACCTTTATTTCACCAAGTTTAACAATTTACATGTATGACTTTTATCTCTTAGTTTATTAAGGCAACCTCTTTATGTGAATACAATAAAGACAAATATGTGAGCTTTCACTCAGCAACAGGCTTTGATTACAAACTTTATGTCAGGTCTTGTCAGTAACAATCTACAGCATATTATGATGATGTTTTTCTCTAAACTTAACACAACGGTGTCTAAAGAGGGTGCTTGAATCATGTGCACGGTTATTAGAAACACAAGATATACCGGTAGTTGGTTCTTTAGGGCTTACCCGCTTTCAAGATGTTATTATAAATACTCAGTCTGACAATCACCAGTGTAATAAATATATAACACCCAGTCTAGTTTGTATTTATCCTGACTTCTTATTCAATAACTAATTTTCTGTTTTAATTAGGTATACTTAATATATTTCTGGTTATACATAAATGTGCACATCACTGTACTGTTTGTTATATATACTATAGACACATTCCCCAATTTTAAGAACAGTCTCTATGTATTTATAGGGGGAGGCTACATAGAAGTAAATTGACTTCAAAGTGTTTGTGACTTCGGTCCAATTTAAATTGATTGATTGTGCATGCGACGGAGAACTTTTTATGGAGCCATGGAGGTGGTACTGAAACACTAAATCAAAGATTCCATAATCACCGCATACGACATACAGACACGCATGCGACACGGGGTAATGTGTTGGGTTTGATTCCATGTATACGGGAATACATCCGTAAAAACTACATTTCTCGTCCAAGCTACATTGGTAAAATATGGGCCATGCTGAGTCTGAATACGTACTATTGTCAGGTTTACAATACTCGATGGCGATGATAAGACGAAACCTTCTGTATAAACTTTTGTGATATATTTCTAAACAACACCATGAAAATAAATCAGACGTGATTATCACGACATTGCTTGAGTTCTGCATGATTTAGTAAATTTGGTTTGCCGATAGAGGGCGTTATCTCTACAAAATATAGAGGCGTTGCTATATATCAACTGGAAATTGCATATAGAAAACAAGAAAATAATTATTAATTGCATATCACCAACATATACGACCAACATAATAATTATCATTATGTTAGTAAAACAATTCTTCAACTAGATAGTATAGTCAGCGTATATTTATAACAATTTCAATCGCGTTTAGCCATGACGGGGAACACGTAATTAGAAAAATCCTTCTCTTCCGACATGCGTACCTTGATGCTGCGGGTCGAATCGGCTATGAAGCCATTGAGACCGTATCCGCATCTATGCAGATAGAATCACGTACGTCATTTTACGTTACCGTGAATGTTGCGGTATTCGTAACAGCATCCGTGCAGATACAATATTAGCTTTAATGGTCCAACGTTCTTGAGGTTTCCAATTACAAGCGGAAATCCAAATAGCTCGTATTGTTGTGCTATATTTTCAGTGTGATTTAGTTGTTGTTTATTTGAAATCTATTATTGTATTGTATGTGTAGTTTTAATTGTACTGTAGTTCATTTCAAAAAGTTTTAATACAGCAATTACCAAAACTGAAATGTCAGATTTCATTAAAGATGTAATAAAGCATTATTCTATTCTGTTCATGTGGCAGAAAACAAATAATGTAAGAATACACTATTGGGGGTGCAAGACCAATCTCAACCAACTAGATTTATGACGTACATCCATTATACTAAAAAAATAACACACATCAAATAGTTCATCCTTCCATTGTTTCATCTACATGTATTTCGCTTTTTATCAATTAATTAAAACTTTGACTAATTATATTTAAATTTAATTTTATGTTGAATATATTTTTCAACATTTTAATTTTATCAATTTTTGTTAATGTCCTCAATCCATCTTCTATTAAGAGTTTCACTTTCATGTCTTTTTTTATATTTTTGGGAGTTATATTAAAATGTTCCCTAAAACAATATTTCGTCATCTGTGCATTTATTTTAGCGGTTTCGGCTACCATTGCCAACCCGGTCTTTTCGATGGCGCGCCTATTTTATTACTGTTATGCCAATTGAGTTCATTGGGGAAATATTATTTAGCATAACTTGTAACAGATGAGTTATTAGTGCAAGAAAAGAATTAGTCCGTGCTTGCAACGCACGAGTTAGTATATCTAAATAAATATACCGTCTTATAACGCACGAATATTAAGTGCAAGAAAATAAATATACTGAACTAATATTTTACGCATGAACTCAATCTGTAAAAAACATGCACACGGACAAAAAGTCTGATTTCTGCAAAATGTCCGGGCCGAAAGTGTAGACCAAAATGTCATTCATCCAATGTTGATAGTCATCAACAGAGGTTAGTGACTATGTGAACATTTATTCTTTTGGGCGATTCGCTCCCAGCTGGGATTGCTTTTTTATAATCACTACGTCCATCCAGTTGTCTCTGTTTCTGCAAGTCAGTCTACACACAAGTTAGCTAATTGGCTGGGTGGATTACGTTGAAACGTGAAAAAGCAAGTAACACCTGTAATTTAGTTAGGTGGAAAAATCTTGTGCAAATGCATCTCTTCCACAAGTCCTGAAGTAAAAATCTCAGAGTACGTATCTCACTCTACTCTGCTTGAGTATTAGACTGACGCA